CCCACTCAGGGGGAAGCTGGGCTGGAGCTGCTCCTGTGGAAGAGCTGATGTCCTGTGATCTGTCCCAGCAAAACGCCTGGTGCTGGGCACATCAATTCCTCCCAGAACCTGCAAGTGACAGTCATGGATGTCTTTGTCTGGTCAGGGTTATCCATCAGTGATGAGCCCATTTTGGGAGCACAGACCAGGTTCTGCACACTCCTTCCCTCCCACACATGGAACCCCAGGACACCTCCACAACACAGGATATCTCAGAGGGTCCTCACCCCACCAAACTTCCTGGATTCTGGCAGAAGTCTGTCAGAAAATGAGAAATCCCTCCACAGAGCTATTTGAATAAATGAAACCAAAAGAGCCTCTACTTTAACAAAAAATACCTCTCAAAATCCTATTTCTGTCCCAGGAAAGCTCCTTCCTAGATACACACTTCACAAAATTTAAGCTCCTAGGACAAAACTTTGATCTTGTGCACCCTTTTAGAGATTAATTTAACCCCAAGGCTCTCAGTTTCTCCACTCCATACTTCTCCTGAAACTCTCCTAACACCCTCGGATAATCCCTTAGTAACAAGGACTCTTGAGGGAACATTAAACACAGTCCTGTGTGAAATGTGAACAAACACCCCAAAGCAGGCTCCCAGCAGCCTTGTATCTGATGGGTGAAGAAATGAAAACTTTGAAACCACCTGGATCAGGCATGGAAACATGACTGAAAGAGATTATGAGGGCATTTCCCAGTACTGTTTACCAATTCAACAATCAGTGATGACTGTGCATCATGAGGTTAAGTAATACCCTTCTTATTACAAGCAATCATGTGCTTCCATCACCCCTGCTGAGTTCATACACTCAAACACAACTGCCACACAGACAATTAATACCTTGAACCAGCTGGTAGCTTCCATGGAGCTGTGCTCCAGCTGAGCAATCTTGTTCAATCAGATCTCATTCCCTAATAAAAACACAAGGTTTGTCAATATAACTGGGCAGATCTCATAGCCTTGGAACTTAGCAAGGCTTTTACCTCAACAACGTGCAACATCCCGTGTCTAAAGAGCTCATTGTTTTCCACTCTAAAGGAAGTGTGTTAGATGTATTAAAAAACTTGTTCCTGATCATTTGCTGTTAATATAAGCTCTAATCCTGTAATGGACCTCACAGCACTAGGATGGGAACCAATGCCAGGTAACTCTGACCTCAAATTACAAAACTAGAAGTAAATTTGAAGTCATCATTGAAAACAAACCCCAAGATTTGCTTCAAAGGAGCTACAAGAGAGGATTAGTGCACACATTCTGCCTGTTCTTTGTTAAGACTTAACAGGAAACTCCAGGTGAGAAGCAACTTTCACCACTCTGTCAAGTGCAGGAGTTTCTGCTACACAGCGTCCCCGGAACAGGGAGTCTCTTGCCTGCAAACTTCCCAAGGCCACCATCCCTCTGCAGCGCCCAGCTGCAGCCACACGGCCACATGCCACTGACCGGGTCACCAGCCGCAGCCCCTGGTGTCCCACGTGCAGGACAGGAGCACAGGGAGCCAGGCAATGCCTGCGGGGTCAGGCTGGACATGGGGACACTGTGACTTTGGACATACCCAAGTAGCGCTGCCATCCCCTATGCCACATCCACAGGGACCCTCCACGCTGAGGGGAGGCCTGGCAACCCTGGTAGAGGAAGGGGTGGCCGGCCAGAGGCTCTGCCATCCTTCCCTGAGGAGCCCTCCAGAGGCTCTGCCATCCTTCCCCGAGGAGCTCTCCAGAGGCTCTGCCATCCTTCCCTGAGGAGCTCCATGGCAGTGAGTTGAAGCCTGCCAGGTGAGGGGAAGGAATAACGGGGACAGCAGAGACCCGCGACACACTGCGGGAGAAGAGGGTAAAGCCAGAGCCGCCCCTCCCTGCCGGGAGTCAGACCCACCGGCTCCAGGACTGAGCCCCCTGCCCAGCGGCACTGAGACCACGGAGCGACGGCACCCCCCGGCCCAAAGTGGGATCATCCACGATAACAGAGGGAATATCCACCAGGGCTCTACCACTGCAGGGAAGGGGGGACTCCCTACCTCACAGAGGCGCCCCCCCGGGGGGTAGTGTCTCTCCCACCCTACCCGAAGCACCTTACTGAGCGGACGAAGGACCCGCCACCGTACCACACTACAGGTAGACAGACAGACCGGGGCCAGCGGTAAGGCGGGAGAGAAACCCGCCCGCCGCCTCGGCGCCTCCTACCTGCGTCCGGCACCGGCGCTCCCCCGCCGCTTCCCCGTCGCACGGCACGGCCGCGCATGCGCGTCCCCCAGCCCCGCCCCGCGGCCATTTTGTGTTCTGGCAAGTGAAGCCGCCGGCACCTCCCGGCAGCCATCGCGTGTGAGGTCACTCGGCTCCCTTATTTGCATATCCCCGCCCCCATCCGCGCGAGCCTCTCTGGAGCGGCGCCACCTCTCTATGGCCCGCCCGTCGCCATGGAAACGCGGCCTGGCCGGGACGCCGGCGCTGGAGCCAGGGAAGCGTCCAATCAGCGTGGAATCATCAATATTGCACGAAATCTTCAAGTTTATGCAGTCCACCCGCCAGCCCAGCGCCACTACTGTTACCTGTAAACCACTAAATAGTATCACCCAATGCCATTTCCAGAGGCCACTTAAAAACCTCCTGGGATGGCCCCTACATCACCTGGGCAACCAATTCCAATCAATGCCTGATCACTCTAACAGGGAAAAAAAATCTGGTATTTAATATGAATCCCCACTGTCTTGGCTTGAGGACATTTCCTCTGTTCCTCTCACTATAGGCACAGTAGAAGAGACTGGCCTCCACCTCATCACAAACTCCTTCAGGGTTTGTAAAAAGCAGTGAGGTTCCCCCTGAGCCTGCTCTTCCCCAAAGAGCACGTGCCACAAAAATATATGCATAGCTGTTTGGGCAGGTGTGGTAGTAATCCAGCAAATATCCTGTCTCTGATCTTAAGTAATCAGAGACTTAGATTTTTCTCCCACGATTAATTTCCATTCATCCTGTGTATTTCAGAAAATATGGCCTATCATTGTCCATTATCATTTAAGATCTCTCTGTGGCCCTTTCTCTCAAAGAAGCAACTCCTATATTCAGGATATGCATCACCTTCCATCTCTCACTGCAACAGCTGCTTCCATTAATCTATTCTCAAATTTCACCAGGGGAAATTTCACCACGAAAAACTGAGGCAAAAGCCAATTGCTGTATACAGAAAGGTATTATTGCACCCTATTACCTTCCAATGTTTTTGCACATTAGACTTACTAGTAGGCTCTTAAGCAGGTCATTTTTATAAATTCCTAAAGCCAGACAACTAATTGTAATCAACATGGATTGTAATTAAAGAGTGATTTGTAGGTATTTAGCTTCAGCTATTGAGATCACCTGCAGCAGAGCAAGGCATAAGGCACTAATCAAAGAATCATTTAGTTTGGAAAAGACCTCTAAGATCACGGGAATCAGTAAACAACCCAAAGGAGCTGCACTACTGCTGCCGTTCTGCTGGGTGATGATGAGCTGACATTCCAGAAGGAGTCACCCATTTAAAACTCCTGTGGAGATTTCTGTCTGCAAATGTCCACTACAGTGCAGGTGCTTACAATAAGATAGTGCTGATGGGAGCCACTGATATGGCTTCTTACTTAATTATGATCTAGATGAGCTGTGAGTACAAATACCAGCTTAGTGGCTGAGTGTGAGTAAAAAGCTTGGGGGAAGTAGTACTAAGAGAAAAGAGGAGGGTATATTTCTGTAGTGTTTAATGGGGGGTTCTTTTTTATGTTAGTCTGTTACTTTAAAGGTTACAGTTCTTTAAGTTTTGCTGACTTGAGAAAGAACCTGAAGGTTTGGTAAGCACTTTTGGTGTTTTCCATGCTGGCTTTATGTGCTCTGATTTTAGCTGCTTCTTTACCTGTGTCCTTGTTCCCTGTCTGAGCATGTTATGTAATTGCTGAAGGAATGAGCCTCCTGTTGCCATCTTAAGGTATAAGGGCACGTTCAGGCACGTTTTGCTGTCTTGGTTACTACAGAAAAACTTCCTTTAGGTCTAATGTGATATCTTAGGGCATCTCCTTATTCTTTGTGTCCCTACGGTACTTCAGTGAAAAATAGCCTGTGGAACGTAACCTGCTTTCTTAGGATTAGGTTGTGTATCCTACTGTTCCTTGGTTAAGTGAAGGTGTTCTCCTGGTTGTCTTTTCACCACATGTGAGTACATATATGCCAAGCAAATCTTTCTCTGTGTTCTGCATTTATAGACTGGGCTGTTATGCAATGTCCCTGCATTTATACACTACCTTAAATGTTTGCAGTAGCAGAGCAGTATATAGCTGAGGTGTTCTGTATTTTGCCTGGCTTCTTAAAAAAAACACAAATCCCTTTGGAGGTGGTGTCCTTTTTATATCTGCTCATGTGGGTGCCAGTCCATGAACAGTAGTATAACTTGGTTGCAGTATTGACTCATGCCAGTGCTCTACTCTGTAATAGTCCTAGCACCACCTGCTTGTGAAAGATACTAATGTAAGTTGTTATTATTGTGCAATAAGAGGCTTTAAACACTTTAATATGGAAAAAAATACACAGGCCTTTGAGTGATTGCACTCCTGGAAACACAAGCTTTTCTTTTGGTTCCTATTTTAAAAAATCAATATTATTTTTAAGCTATGTTCTGTATTGTCTAAAGACCACAACAGAAGGTAGTTGGTTGGCTTTTTTAAAGTTATAACAAAGTTGTAGATCAGCAGATGCTGCAGCTGTCTGCCTTGGGGATGCAATAAGAGCGGTATTCCCATGTGTAATTCTCGCTCAGATGTTTGCACTTACAATAGAAATGCAGTGTATGTTGCTGTTGTAACAGAAAACCCCCTTATATGCCAGAGGGGTATGTTGTATATAACACAGCCTCAAAGAGTGGATAATCTTTGCTGCCCTGTCCTACTGTTTAGGGTGTTGATACTCTGGGAAGACATAGTGCATAAGAACACACCTTCTGTACTTCTTCATAGCCATCCTCAATGGAGGATATGTGGGAATAGGATGTAAGATCTAAATAGGATCTATTTAAAGAACAAAGAGCTAAAATGCAAATAGTTTTCTGTGACACTGGTGTTTGTCAACAGAGGAAATCCACTGTGGGCACAACCTCCCTCTGGAGAACTAGGCTGTGTGATCTGTTAACTCCTTTGTAGGATATCGGGAGACTCTCCCAAGAGCACTCCAAGGACAAAGACTTGAAATCAAGCAGCTGTGAGAGTGGGATGCTGTGGAAGTACAAAACACGTTGCTCTGTTATGCAAACTGTCTTTGTGTAAGATAAGAAAGTGCTGGTAGGTAACTGGAGCTGGACATGGGAATTAAGGCTGGAATGGAATGATTTGTCTTGGAGTGTGTAAAGTAAACAATATATAACCAGGAGGAACCAGATAATTATGGAGTGTCTGAAGCAGCTCTTGCAGGGTAAAACCTTTCACGGCCACCTGCACCATATCAGTAATACCATATAAGGCTGAGATTACCAAGGTAACAATATCAGAATTTTCAGGCTTAATTATGGGTGTGCAAAACTGAGGAAGAAATAATCTGGGTGGATTGGCTGTTTGGGAGGAGACTGAGGTATGGGAAGCATCAATGTGGCAGAAAAAGTCGATCTTGAAATAAGAAAACATATAAAATGAGATAAAGGTGAGATCAGCTGACTGAAGGATTGTGGGTGTCTGGATGATAGTGAAGCCTGAGGACTCAAGCTCACAGGAATGCTGAAGTGATGCTCCTTGAACAACCTGCTGGACTCTACATCAGGTCTATGCTGGAAAGAATTGTTGTGGGAGGGCAGAGCAAAGTCAGGTAGATGTACATCCTAGTGTGCGGTGGTGTGGGAGGGAAGGGTGACTCAACAGCATCATGTGTGGTTCATAAGACTTGATTAGCAGCTTCATAGCTGTGTTCAAAGTGGTATAAATAGCATGAGATGCTACTGGTGCATTAATGAGGTTATTGGTCATTTAGTTGACTTATTGGTGTGCTTGATACAATTAGTGTGCTGAGTCTGTTCTTGCAACACTGTAATATGAAGGGGAATAGCTGGGCAGAAGTCACAGCTCAGGGCTCAACAAGGACCTCCTAATTTGGAAGCCTGAGCTAACTGATACTGAGTTCTTTGAAGAACATGTGTGGATGGAGATGATGGGTATCAGATGAATTCCTGAGTGAGAGGAGGAGCAGGTCTGTGCAGGCTGTGTTTTAACATGGAGGGGATCCTTAGAACTGACTGCTCTGAAATACACATTAAAATATACTCAACTAAAGAAATAATAGTAGTGTCTAGATACAGAGCTGCATCTGGGAAAGGGTTTAAATAAGGAAAAAACATGATAGCTGGGATACTGAGACATGGGACACAGATTTGAACCTCAGCTGAGGAAGATATCTGATGTAAAGGGTGACTGTAGTGGTTAGTGGGAAGATGAGAATGGTGGTGGTGGTGGAAGCTTTAATAACACAAGTTAGGCTAAGCCAAAATAAGAATATGTCAGAAAAAGAGAAACTGTGGAGTATATCCAAAATATATCCTCTGGCGAGTGCAGCAGATGCATACCCAGGGAGAGGCTGAATAGGTGACAGTGTCAGGATCACCTTGGCAGAAGGCAGAGATGTTTTCTAGAGCCTTACCGGCTGATGCAGTCACCCTATGGTAACACTTGTCATGTTTTATTCTTGGTGGCACAGATGTTCCAGAGCTGCTGTGTTATCCAGCAGCTGCAGGCAGGGTAGGAGTGGCTGCTTCAAACCTCTCTCACCACCGAGTTGCATTTTGAGTGCTATTTGAGCAGAGTTATGCAGGGAGGTGGTTTTTGGATAACAGCTGTCAAGTAAAAAACTTGCTCTGCAATGACTTGGCCTTTTCTTGGTGTTTTGATTTCATAGAGAGTCTGGCCTTTGTGCAGACCTTAGAAACAAATGCCAGACCCACACTAGACTTCAGTGCTTTCTGGGAATGTTGCTTTGAATAGCTGAAATGGATCTACTCCCTCTTCAAAGGGCCTCTATAAGGGGAGACTGACTGTAACAGGCATTAACTGCTATTTCCAGAGTTACCAATGCCAGCTGGAGCTCTTTTCTTCATGGTGCACTAGTAACAGCAGGGTAAGACTGGTGTCTTCTGGCTTCAGAAGTTAAATTCTCCCCCTTGGCTGAGCTGAAGATTGTTCATGGAGCTCTTATAGCAGCTGTGCTTGTGGTATTCTTCCAGTTGGCTTGGGCTGCTGTAAGAATTTGGGCAGTGAACTAATTCCTGATAGAAAGGTCCCTCCTGTGGGATGAGGGGAAAGAGGGTCAGAGTCCCAGCACTGCTGGGGGAGTTCCTCAGACTGGATTTGTGATGTGGGGAAGCTCGTTCTCTATAGCATTGATTTGTATTGCTGTTAATCACTGCTATCTGCTGGTACCTTGAACTAGGTGTGATGCAGTAACCCCTTGTGCAAGTATTTAACACTTCTTGGAGTACTTTGCTGGGACAGCATGGGTTGGTTTTCTCTCGGAGAGTGTAGCAAAATGTGGTGCTATTTTATGTTTGGGGTGTGAGTGGGTTTGTGTTCAAAATTCAAATTTTTCTATTATTTAGCAGCACTAGCATGGGAATCTGGTCCTCTAGAAAGTTATTAAGGCCTGAAAATGCCCAGCTTTTAATGAGCTATTGCATTTTCCTTTAATTCCTGTGCCACTGCCAGGCATGTCTGGCTAAGAGCAAGCATCCCGTTTAGGAAGGCAGCCAAGTGCCCGTGTCCCAAGGATCAGTACTGGTGGTAGAGGATCAAAGTTATTGTGTTATGTGGCTTTTTGTACTGCTTTCCCACCTCCCCAAGAAGTACTTGAGAGTCTTCTCCTGGATGAGTTTTACTGAAAAGACTTCAAACCAAGCATAACCTTAAGTGGGTAATAAAGGGATAGAAGTTACAAGGAAAATATTAAACTGCTTTGTCAAGCTCTTCTCCCACGTACTATCTCCAGCTACCAGGATGCTGGATAAGTGTGTGGGACTGACACCAGGCTGATGGAAGACAAACCTTGGCTGAATAAAAACATTCCATTTTAACCTCTCACTTTAAGCAGTCCTTGAAGTTTTGGGTTTAAAAAACAAAGTCTTTACCAAAGCTTTGTCAGGTGGCAACAATTTTACAAACTCTGCTCAAAATGGGGAGACTAACTGGAAATAACTCATAACTTCTTCATCCACTTGGCTGGGAGAAATCTGTGCTTTTGCAGTATTCATCCCTGTACCCTTGGGAATTGTCACAGAGCAATGGCAGGAGATCTGTGGTTTTTTGTGGGGTGGGGAGAGGAGGAGGAAGTCAGGAAAAAAGCTAGAAAGAATAGTTTGAAAGCTTGAGTGCTGGAACAGAGGAAAGGGTAACTTAATGGTATTCATTTGTGAGCTGATCACAGGGCTCTGGAATGAGGCAAGAATAGTCTCAGTTGAGAGTTACAGTAAATTAGATAGTCATGTCCTCTCCCATGGGCCCAGTGTCTCTACAGTTGTGTTGGCTTGCAGCATATTCTCTGAGGTAGCATCTAAACACATCCAAACTGCCAGCCTGACCTGGGGACTCTGCTTCTGCTGGACACAGGACTTGGTAAAACCAGTCTCTGCAGACATGTGAGACACTTGTATGAAGTTTCACATGTTGGGTATTGTGGCACACCTGTGTGTTGGTACTGTCCATGACACAGTCAGGCTCACTTCAATCTCTGTCCTACAGAATGTGAAGTCTGGCATGGAACTGAATATTTACTTTCCTCTGTTTTCTGTAGCTCACAGTAGTCTCTTGTGTTCCAAAAATACCTAAAAAGAAAGCTCACCAAGTTCAAAGCTAGCTGAGGTGGTAGTAAAGCTTTACTGCCCTGAGATGTTCAGAAAAAAACATATTGTATGGTCTTTATTTTTAGCAGGTAATTTCTGCTGCTTTAGATACTAGGAAAGCCCTACCAGACTTGGGCATTTCTGTTTTAACTAGTGGTGGTTTCATCACCTGTAGTAACTGAGAGGACTGAAACAAAAGCTCCTCTTATCAAATGTCCTCTCTAGTTATTTATTGCAAACATTGCTTGGCTGCTCCATAGCAACTCTACGTGGGGCAGCTGGTGTGAAGCACGCTTTGCTTGGCAGCCTTTTTTGGGAGCTGTGGTGTCAGCCTCCTCAACCTCCACCAAGATGTTTGAGGAGGGAAAAGCCCTGCCATATGACTGGGGCAGTGGGTAAGGGAATTGCTGGAGTCAGCTCTGGCAAGCCTGGGAATAGTCTGCAGTATCATGCTCCCACCAAGAAGAGATTAGTCTTATGTTAGTTTTCTGTGACCGTCTTTGGAGTTTTTCTCTCCTTTTTATAGTGCCTGGTGTCTCATTCAGCACCAGCCATGTGGGATCTGAACCCTTTTCTAGCAAGGTTAAAACTGTTGGAAAGACTTAAAAGGAGATGCTGCCTTGTCTCTTGCTGTGACCTTTCTTACTGTGTTGGCCTCTTGTTGTACCCTGCTGCCAGCCACTGTTTCCAGTGCCCTGGCATGGGGAGGCTTGGCTCCCAGGCACATCCTGCTGTCTGTTCATCCAGGTTTTGCATCTGTGCCACCAATACCTGGCATGTATTGATGGATGCTAGTGGCTCTCAGGACCAGGCAAGTATTTAGCACAGTTCAGCTCAGGTTTTAAGGACTGCTTTGCCTGTTCCTGCTCAGGACATTCAAGTGCTGGACAGCAGATGTGGTGACTTCCCTCCCCCCCAAGGTATAACAGAGCTTGATAGTGGAGCAAAGGAGGATGGTAGTTGGAAGAGATAGATCAGCTGGGATCCCTTCTCCCTTTCTGGTTCTGTAGTTGCTCCTGAAGAGTTGGAGGCTGTCAGATATTTACTTCCAAGACCAGGCCAGCCTCTGGCTGCTGGTATTGGAGAAACAAGAGAAGTAGGAGCAGGTGGATCATAGTATGGTTTGAGTTGGAAAGGACTTTAAGATCATCCAGTTCTAACTTCTCTGCCATGGGCAGGGGTACCTTCCACTAGACTAGTGTTCTCAGAGCCCCATCAAGTCTCACCTGCAATGCTTCCAGGGATTGGGCATGCACAGCTTCTCTGGGCAGCCTGCTCTGGTGTCTCACCACAGTAAAGAATTTTAATTTCTAATATTAAATTTGAATTCACTCTCCATCAGCTTAAAACTATTCCCCCTTGTCCTATCACTGTTTGCCTTGGTGAAAATTCCCTTGCCAGCCTTCTTGGAGACCCCCTTTAGGTACTGGAAGGTGCTATAAGGTCTCCTTGGGAAGAGGAAGGGGAGAAGAAACTGGGGATTGGACTCCTTCCTCAAGTGCTACCACTTGGTGTTGGTGTTTGGAGTTGGTTTTTGATGCCTTCCAGCCATCAGATGGCCTGACAAATGATCACCTTCTGGGCAAACCCTGTTTTCCCTAAAGCAGTGTCTGCTTTTACTTCATGGTAAATGAGGGACAGGGTCGGGCAAGCTGGTACTGGTGTTCTCAAAGCCCTCTTCTCCTGTACGCATGGATTTTTCATGCCATAGCTCAGCCTGAAGGTCAGTATGAACAACAGGCAATTGTGTAATGGTGGGGTAAGCTGCACTGTCAGCCCCTGGGAGCACCAGGGTGCAGCTCTGCAGGGGCAGGGCAGGAGCATTGTGCCGCCTGCATATCAAAGCCTTGTTGTAACACACCCGAGCATTCAGAGCAGCGCTGGGCGTGCAAGCCAGGAGCTGGGGCTCGGTGCCTCTGCAGGTAAGGCTGTGCCTGGGCAGTCTGAGAGCTCTGTGCTTGGAGCAGGCAGGGACAGGGCAGCACCGGGCAGGGCAGTGGAGCCTGGCAGAGGCCACCCCGTCAAGGCTTGCACTTGCTTCTGTGGTAAGGCATGTGATAATGCTGCCCTGAAGCGCTTCTAGTCCTGCTTAATCCTCATCTTGTTCCCCCTTCTTATCTGTTCAGTTTGCTTCCTCTTGTGGGTCATCCTGCCTAGCTGAGCCACCAGTTTGTTCCCCTTATCTTCCTTCAGTGTAAAATCAAAACAATTAGTAGCTGTGCTCAGGCTGCCTTGTGATAAACCCCCAGTGATTTAGATGGCCTGTCAGTCCTTCTCCTTGCAGCTGCCAGGAAGCCCTGGGAGCAATGATGCTGACAGCCAAAATGGAGGGTGCTACAGAAGATTTTGAGCAAGAGCTGGTCATAAGCTAGATGTGAACAGCTTCTCTAGGGTTGTCCTTAAATGGCTTGGAGCTGCATGCTGACCCAGCAGATTGAGTGTGAGCTGGGCTTGCTTTGTTTCATATGATGGATGCAATAGCTGTACACTCTGTGCAAACCACTTTTTCTGAAATACAAGCACTTCACAGAAGTGTGGATCTCAATAGGGATGAGTGGATGAGCTCTTTAAAGAGGTGCTGAGACTGGTTTTCAAGATGAGACCATTTATTCCATGCGCCCACCTCATGCTGCCATTAACATATAACACTCCTCTGGATTTTTGTGGTCATTCTGAGCAAGTTAGGCAAGTAGACTGTGAACTTTGTTTAATTTCCTCCTATCTGAGGGAGTGATTGTTGTGATGGGCTTTGTCTCCAAGGCTGCAAGTCTTGTTTAGGGGTGCTGCCTGGTCTTGACTGAATATTCCAGTGCTGTTCTGCTGTTCCCTGTGCTGGATTAAGGCTTCTAGCCCTGAACCCATAGCGAAAGTAGGCTTGAGCTAGTTAGGGTACATTATGAACCCCTAGGAAAAGGAGGAACTTGTGCTAGCTAAAAAGAAAAACCCCATTTTGCAGTACCCAGCATTGGTTGTGTCAGGCAATTCTCAGGGGATGCTGAATTTTCATCTCTTTATTGGTTAACACCTGTGGGAGAGGCAACTCTAGTTAAGGCAAGAAGTACCCACAGCATCTGAACTGTGGGGGGAAAAAAATCTGGTTTGCTGCCTTTAGTTCTATGCATGGTCTTTTCCATCTCTGATAGCAAACTTTAAAACAAACAAAACAAACCATCAACGCTATGCTATGTAGTTTCCTTTCTGGCCCTAGGGGAGAGGATAATGAGTCATGGGAGGACGTTGCTTCATGCCCTGGAGGGTGCTTGGATATCTGGCAAGGGCAGGCTAGAAGCACATTCAACTATAGGTCAGAGCTGCTCAAGGTAAATTCACCCTTAAACGTGGATGATAATTAGTGAGACCAAAAAGAGAAACCTGTACATGTGAACTTGGAAGTCTAGATGTGCCTGGATTTTGCTCTAGAAACAAAAGGTACAGCTCTTGTTTGCTTATCAGAGTAACAGGGCTTTGGGAGGATGAGGAGAGAGTCAAGGACAGCTGAAGATCTTTTTATTTGTTTAAGATTTCCTTGTCTGGGCCGGATGGCAGTTGACATGACTGCAGCAGGGTTGGGCTGTGTCGCCTCTTTCCTTTCTTTGCCTGCTGGCTTTGTTTCTTTCCCTTGTGCCTGCCTTCCCCATTTTCATGCCTACTCAAGGGCCTTCAGCTTCTTGCTGCCTCCCAGTACTGCAAATTGTGTCCTCATGACACAAGTCATGAGAATATGAGGTTGACTTTTCTGCCCTCCGTGATCTTTGTCAGCTTGTTCTCATCTTTGCAGTGTGAAGATGTGTGGGTTAAATGATGTCTTGCAGAAGAGCTAACTTGGCAGTCATTGGCAATGTGGTTCACTTGTTCTTGGTAGGTTACTGCCCCTGCAAGCTGTGGGGAGCTCCTTGTATTAATTATTAATTGGTTTGTATGCTTACAGTGTTAAGTGTATCTCCTTATTCACCCTGAAATGTATATTACCGATATAAATTGTTTCTCTTCCCCTTCTGTCATCACAGCTTTTGAGACTTAGCAACTGCTCCACAGAAGTGCCCTCTGTGTAAAACCCCAGGCTCTTGCACAATGTACCAGTCCAGCTTTATGCCACGGGAATATTACCCAGCCATGATCCCACCTTCTGCCTACACCTACCCACCTCTGCGGCCTGGGAGAGCAGAAGACATGTCCAGACCTGTGATGTTCCCTCCCATCCACATGCCCAACTTCTACAGTCGACCCATCACCTTTGTGGTGGACCGGAACAGCTACCCTGACTATGCAGGAGGTCAGGTGGAGTATCATCATCTCTATAGTGCCTCCAATCCCTACATCTATCCATACCACACCTGGCACTTCCCTCCCATGGTCCCCATCCCTCTCTACAATCCCTATGCAAACTACCATCCCTATGCTACCTGCCAGAGGTCAGATCAGTATCGAGATACGTGGCCAGAAGGCTTCACAATGAGAGGGGAGCTTCAATGGGGGAAGCTTGGAAAGGTGTTTGGGCCAAGGAAAGACCTCCCAGAATTTGTGAAGGATGATCTCCGGAGGGTTTATGGCACCTACCCTCGGACCAATGTTTCCATATCCTATCGGAAAGGAGAGTTCTTGGTCAAGGGAGACCCCAAGATAGAAGACCAGGAATATGCAGTGGAGAAAAAAGTCATCCAGCAGGCTGTGACCCCCAGTGCCAGTGAGGCAGATGACAGCAGTGAGGACCGGAACCGTAAGAAGAAAAAGAAACTGAGACATTGAGGCAGTCAGATACCCAATAGACCGATGCTCCAGTACCCTCATGGGAGCCAGTTGGCAGCTGGTTTTGGTGTGGTTGGCAAATAACACAAGCAATGGATGCCACCATTCTTGTTGATTTCTTTTAATTGCTCCTCATTCACCACAACCTTATGGCAGATTTACCCTTTTTGATGCAAAATGCCCATCCTGTGAAGAAACCACATGGCACTTTACTGTTGGATCAGCTCATTGGTCCTGGTTTTGAAATGAACATTTGATTTCCACAAGTTTGGTTGACTGGTCACAGCCTGGTGGGGGAATCTCCAAACTGCAGCCCTTGATCAGAGAAATGGGCCTCTTCCTACCTTGTCCAGGGGAAGGGCCTGTAAGCTGGTTTTCTTCCTGGAGAAATGAAAGCTGAATTTCCTTCAGGCTGAGGTCAGTGCAGGTCCCAGAAGACACAGGGGTTCTTGAACACGCTAAAGAACAATTGTCTACATGTCTTGTCACTGCTGTTTATGACCATATCACTGTGCTTTATCACCACATGAGGCCTCTATGCAGCACTTCCCTACACTCTGGTGTCCCCATCCTCTTACACGTGATAACGTGGTGCTCAGTAATCCTGGCCACATGTCCTTATTGAAACTGCTGTTGAGGCCCTGCTCTGGGTCTGACTTGGCTCTGGTTCGAGGTGCTGGCTCCCCAGTGAGGGTACTGGAGTTGTGTGTACCACAGCACTTCCATAGCTTGGTGGTTGTACTGGAAGAGCTGTGCTGGAGGGTTGTGAGGGGCTGGGTATGACTTACTTGCAAACTTCTGTACCTTTTAAATGATTATAAACAATAAAAAAACCCAAATGCAAATGCTTTTATTTCTGATTCTTAACTACCTAACATCAGTCTCTTTTGTGAACAACTTGCAATCAGATCTGGCACCTTTTTGTGAAGTTAGGGATGGCTTCTGCTGTGGTTCACGCCCAGCCGTGATGCCTTGTCCCACTTGGCAGTACCCTGCCTTGCCCTAGCTTGTTTTCTGTCAGCTTCTCTAGGGACCAGCAGGAACTTTATGAGCATACAGGAGAAACAGGGGATCTTCTCTGTCCCCCTGCAGTTCCCTATTCTCCCCCTGACCTCACACATGGGAGGTAATGGGATGTTACCCATCTGCATAGCAAAGGGAAGACTGTAAGGGTGAACTTGGAGGCCTTTGGTTGTTCTGAATTGCTGTAAACTGAAAGCAAGTGTATTTTCTTTAATTTTTTTTTTATATATATATATATAGTGCAAGAGGTTTTGTTTAACCAATTGCCAAAATGTCCCAGCAACTGTCTGTGTTTCCCCTTCCCCATTCAGCTTCTTGGAAATGTGTTAACTCCTGCTGCTAGACAAAGCTGCAAGAGGGCTGAACCTGAAAAACTGCTGTAGAAACCTTGGACCAAACTGGTGCTCCTTGGCTGTGTTGCAAACAGTGGCAGTGGGACTTGCTGAATGGGCTAGAAAAGGCCTCCATTAATGACTGCTGGCTAACCAGTTATGATTTTGGTTACCTAATATAGGAAAAAGGCAGTAGCTCCTGCTGGATTGGTTGTTTGAGGTTTTTTAAATCTCTTCCTGGGCTGAGCAGGCTCTCCTGCACAGTTAGGGATGTGCAGTTAAACGTCTGCATTGGTGGTGCACTCCTGTCCTTCCAGTGGCAGCTCCTTTGGGCAGTGAACCCAAAGTTCATGCATTGCATCCTTGGGCAGTGGTTCAGCACCTCAGTGGGGTGTGGAAAGGAGCTTCTTCCCCATCCCCTGCAGCTGCTGTGGGACACAGCTGAGCTGTCAGAACTGGAAGCTTCCTGCCATGGGCAGTGGCTGCTTTAGGTGAGATCCTGGAAGAGGTGCAAACCCGCTCTTCTAGGCAAGGAAAGAAAGAGCATGGATTTTGGCATACAGTGATGTTGAAATGCTACATAAATTACAAGGAATTGCACAATAACTTAAATGCCATTCCTCCAGCTGTTAGGTTCCTGGTGGCAGCATGACACCATGTTAAAGTAGAAATGTCCCCAAAACTCAAGAGGTACAGCCAGGCTCTCCCAGAGGTATATAATGAGTGGGTGCAAACAGCCTCTTGCCTACACAAATACATTCTCTAAGTATGTTACTTGTGGGGTCATCTCCAAGGCCCATGGGGAGATGGAGGGCATGACCCTTAACTTTACCTATCCTGTCCTGTTTATCTTCTCCAAAGTTTTGTTTGGTTTTGCTGCCTGGACTCTGAACAGGAGATTGCTGGGCACACCCAGGCTGTTGTTCGGACAATGTGTATTTTTAGCAGAGGCTCACACTTGCTTGCAGTACATCAGGAGGTAGTAATGTATTTATTTTCTCAAATGCCATTTCACTTCCAGAAGGAAGAAAGCATTCTATAGTTGGGTGGTTTTTTTTCCCTTGGGGGAAGATGTGCCACAAACCTCTACTTGCTCTTTGATAGCAGATATTTCTGTGGTGGCCATAACTCTGCTCCACCCCTAATCTGGTCTCTGTGCAGGAGCAAAGATATTCCTTGTAGGAAGAGCTCACAGTTGCCTTTTCTTCCTGAAGGTTTGAGGCTCAGTTGCTGCCCAGCTGCAGAACTGAATCCATAGGGCATTTTGGAGGCTTCAACGCCTATGGAATTCAGTTCTCAGAGCCAAGCAGCCAGTGCAAGTCAGCTTCCCCTGGCTCCAGCCAGCTGTGTCTCCATCTGCAAAGGGGGAAAAAATAGCAAAGAGCTCATCATGTCTTTGACACAGGGCAGGCACTGAGCTGACACAGATTTTTGCAACTGGGAGCTGCCACAAGAAGACTCTGGCACCTCTCATCCCAGAAACAGCACAGACAGACACAGCTTTCTTTGGAAACTTTGCTCAAGTTGGCTGGCTCTTTTTTTTTCCACTGCTTCAACATATGCTGTTTGGAGTCACTGCAAAGTTTCAGGTCAACCCTGAGCTCTGCAAACCTGCTAGAGCTGTAAGAAAAACACCATTTCTGTTACTTAGGGCTGGTATTGGCAGGTGTGCTGAGAATCCCCCTATGTATTTGCTCCATGTGCAGGTGTCACATATCCCTTGGATTAAACTGCTCTTTCTAAACCCTCAGTATGGGTGTCTGAAAAGGGGCAAGCTGCTCCATTCATACTGAAACCAATGCCCACAGGAAATCCTTGAACTGGGAGGTGCCAGCTGAGGGGAATGGTGTGTGCAGCAGGTGCTCCCATGGGTGGACCATGAGGTGCAGGGGTTTTCTGCCCATTTGGAAGTGGGAAGGGACATGGGATAATTCTGTGTAAAATGAAGAGTGAAAGACCTTTTCCAGATGGCTCAGAAAGTAGATTCAGGGAGGGACTGGTCTCCATCTGGGTTAACCTGGGACTTGCTGGTGCATCCCACAACTATACACATGTCCTTTGCTGCCCACTGCCCCCACCCTCTGGTTTGGGCTGCAAAGCTCACATGCATGGAGAGGCAGACTTGAGGGACACAAGTCTGAGCATCCACAGAGCTGCTGATGCTGCTGGCAGCTTTGGGCAGCCTCACCCCTCAGTAGATGTTCACTTTCAAACCTGGGGACTGAGCTAATGGCTGAAAAGCTCTTCCTTGGCTCAGCAATAGCTTGGCACAGTTGTGATGACAGTGGCTCAGGCAGGAGTAAGCACCAGGAGAGGATTCCAGGCCTTTGCCTGTATGTCAGCAGAAGAGACGGGAAATGACACACACCACTTTGGAGCACGGGCAAAGATTTCAATGGGGGAAGCACTGAGCAACTGTTGCACGAGCAGTGAACTCTGCGATTGCTCAACTGCTGGCCCCAGGCTCTATTTTAATCCCTCTGCTGGGAATTACAGTTCAGTTGGGGCAGCATGAACTCACCATTCTGATGCATATAGCAAAGCAGCCAAACCCTGTTGCAAAAGCTGAGGAATCCCAGGCTGCAAGTGCCAGCTCTGGTGTATCCCAGGGAGCACGTGCAGCAGTGCCACAGAGGCTGCCTGGAGGGGCAGCAGTGGAGGGAGATGGGGTAAACCAGAGCTTACACCACAGTCTCCACCCTGCAGCAGGTGGTCAGGGTCAGAGAGGCAGTTCAGGGACCCAGCTGTGTACTGTGCCTGTTTTCAGACCATTGTGACTTGGTAGGGAGTTTTCAATAGCTCTGAGCTGCTCAAACTCTGAGCCTTCTCCTCCTCCTCTTACTCTGCAGGCAGCCACCTGTGCAATCGAGTGGGCAGGAAGGTAGCCTGCCAGAGACATTGCAGCCACATGGAAGCACCTGCCAGCCTGAAAGGGTTGGTAGGATTGGGATGCTTTGGGGCTGCTTGTTGTCCATCTCATGCCCATAGGGGTTTACCTTGCAGTCCCTGGCTATTTGAGTGCATGGAAAACCTTTGTGTTTCATTTTTTAAGATGTAAAACTCTCCTCTGAGGCATTTACCTCACATCATTGATGGATGTCTGCCATTCAAAGTGCCATCCATCTGCCTTCACCCCACTGCTGCTCTAAGCAACCACTGCTTTCAGAAACTGAAAGGTGCAGGCCAAGGAAAAGCCTTCCTCCTCATCTTCCTCCATGGGCTGATTTGCAAAGAAAAGGGAAGGGTTTCAAGCAGACAGGCAGGTGAGGAGCATGGGGGTCAACACCAACAAGCCTTCCCTGATGGTCCTCCTTCCCTTGCACCACGGCCCAGGGAGGTGATGTGGATGCTGGGGCTGAGTTGGACAGCCCAGCAGCCATCTGGCATGAATTCCCCCATGCCCTGTGTCCCACCCTCCCCAGCTTGGGGCAGGGACAGCTCCAGCATGACACTTTTGGCATCCTACCTGTGGGTGCTGGGACTGGGGCACCCCATAGCCAAAATGCACCAGAAAGAGTTTGATCTAAGTGCAATGGAAAATCCATGGGGGATGAACTGGGAATGAAATTATTCAAATGCAAACTCAGAGAAGCTCCAATTCTGATTTCATTCTTGGCTGCTCCTGTAAGCAACGTGCCCATGGCATGGCATCCACAGCACACCACATGGTCTGCTTTTGCTCCTTGGTTTTCCTGACCCAGCTTTGTCCTGTATTCCTTCACCCAGGCAGGGCCAGGGCTGGATTTGGCCCTCTGTATTTGGGATTATCCCAAGACCCTAGGGGGTCTGCATTGGAGCAGGATGCCAGGTAATACATGGAAGGGCAGGGATAAATGGAGATGTGGGAGCCACCTCGGTGATGGGTATTTTGCTGCTGTGAAGGTGCCCTGGCCTGATCCTGTGTTTTCTAGAGGCTGTGTCAGGGTCAGGCCGCAGCACTGTTCTGTCGGGTGACCACTGCCCCACCTCAGCCCCGGGGGGAATTACATCAGGCCAGCTGCCAACTTCACAGGTGAGGGTTTCACAGCCCCACTGCAGCCTGCCTCCCCTGACCCTGGAGCTGGATCCCTTGGCTGAAAGGTTGAGAGCTCCTCAAGGCTCCTGACCTCAACCCAAAATGATGGTGAGTCAAGAGACACTGCAGACAATCAGGTGCCCAGGAGGATACTGCTGCTGTGGGGCTTTTCTGTGGAGCACAGCAGAAATGGCCACATGAGCTGATTTCCCCATGGCGAGCCCCGCTGGCGGCGATGGGAAGACAGAGAAGCAGAAGCTCACTCATGGCCAGCCCTGCTGCTGGAGAGCTGAGCCACGCCGGTTCAGCCCTGAGCTGCCACAGGCGCTGAGCCCTTTCTGCCTTTCGCTCTCCACTCCCTCCCTGCCGAGGGCCCGTGGGACAGGCTGGAGACAAAGCACAAGCCACTGCTCCAGAGGGGACGTGACTCCCAGGCAGCTCCAGCGCTCAGAGGTTAATGATTTATTGCTTAATGTCTTAAAAGCAGTAGCGCCCTCCTTTTGGCATGTCCACCTAATTATCCTGGGAGTTGCTGATTAGCTAGGACGTGCCTAGGCCCAAGCAGCGGAGTCCTGTGGGCGCTGCACAGCCACCGGCACCGCGCTGACATGGTGGCTGCAGCATTATTCCCGGGAGTTTCACTTTGTCTTCCCGGGAACATGCCCCACGCCGTTTAAAGTATGAGAAGCACGAGCCCGGTTTTGCAGGTTACCAAAAAAGCCGCGGATAGAAGCGAAGATGCTCGTGCACACACACGGTGACCGACACCTCCTGTCCCGCTCCCCGCGGGCGGTGCGCCGCTGCCATCGCCCGACACACGTCACCGCGTCCCCGCCGCCCGGCACGGGCAGAGCCGCCCTCCGCAGCGCCCGGGCTGCGGCTCCTTGGGGAGAGCAGCAGCCGAGAAATCCCCTCGTTCCAGCCACAGCGGTGCCCCCGCTCCGGCGCAGACCCTCCCTCGACCCCTGCACTCACCCGACAGCTCCGGCTCCCGTCCAGGCGGGTCTGCGAGCGGCGGGGCCGGAGGCACTGTTAAATATTGCAGCCGACTTACTCACTCACTTCCCTTCCTGGACGGCAGCGCAGAGTTTCCACCCACTTCTTTCACCTTTGGTTTCCAGGCTTTCTGAGAAAAGGGGAAGCCGTGGGAGGGAGCAACCGGCATCCCCGTGCCAGGGCCGCGGCCCCCAGCAGCCTCTCCTTCCCGGGAAGGGGCGGATGCCAGAGGGAGCCGCTTTCCCGGGAAACTGCGGCGGGGCTGGGAGTGCCTTGTGCCCGTGGCCCAGCGCTCCGCGACCCTCTTGGGTTAGGCAGATTTTCCTCCCCAGCCAAGTGGAGAGGGCACCTGAGTGCTGCCTCCCTGGCATAAGCTCAACGATGGCTGCCTGACCAGCCCAGCCTCCTCCTTTGGGAGTGAAAATCCCCTCGGGACTCAGAAGTACCTTGGCCTCACTCCACCAAAGCCCATTCAGGTCCTCCTTTAACACAGTGCCTCTGCAAGTGGGGACAGCGCCAGAGTTGGGGTCACATACGCATCACTGACACCTGTGATGAGCTGTGTCCGTCCTCAGCCCACAGCCAGTAGCAGGTGCTGCCAAGGGCCTGGGAATGTGCCAGCCAGCGTTCCATTCTGCAGCCAGTGTTTCATCCAGTGACATGCCCATTGGCACCACATGGAGCTGGATGCCCTCCCTGGGGACATTGATAGATGATGTTCCCTGGGACATAAAGCCCCCACTAACTACTGCCAGCTCTGGTGGGTTAGCACATGTGTCTGGTGGGAACTCCTTTTTCTTAAAGTCCCATTCTCCAGCATTCTGTCAGTGCCACCAAATGCATAACCATTGTTTTTTGCTCAGAAGTTACATCAGGTCCCGGGGTTTCCCTCTGCCAGCAGTCTGGAAATGAAAATCTGGGGCCCCAGCACTGGCTGTGGCACTGAGCTGAGAGTGAGCACCACTGCTCCTTCTGAGCCACAGTGAATAAACCCAGAAATAAACTGGCAAATTAATTGATGGGGGATGGCGAGATGCCTCACATGCCTGGCTGCCTGCACCGCCCTGCCCGGGCTCGACAGCTGCCCTGCAGGTTCAGATAAAATTTACAGAGTGGTTTTGCCTTCTGGGAGCTGCCATGGTGTTTCTGAAGTGGGAAGCACCTGGAAGGCTCTGGCATGGAGGTGACCTAGCTGGAGCCACAGTTTTATCAATGCAAGCCCCCAAAGCAGGCATCATCAGCAATTCAGAGCCTCGCAGTGTATTTTCAGGTGGTCAGGTGTGATTTGGCTGCACACC